CTTGATTGTCATCATATTCAGGAATTGTTGCCCGTCTTTGCAACAAATATTTCTTGGCAGATTTAGCACTGATGATAGACATACTTCAAGAAATTTCTTTACTTTCTAATGCTCTCCAAGCCAGAAGTGTAACTTTGCCAAGAACTGAAAAACTAATAAAAAGGTCCATAAAAGCATTTGAAATGCTTAAAGAAAATAAGGGGACTTTTGGAAAGGAAATAAATGATAGAGTTGCATCTGATGCCTTTAAGGATATTCAGATCACTGAAAACCACAGATTTGTTAGCCTTCCTCGTCAAAAGCTCCTTGAGGTAATAATAGAAAATATGAAAAAAAAAGTTGATCGACTGTGATCATTTAACATCAAAGAACAATAATAAACAAAATGACAATAAGTTACATGAACTGCTGAACTTGCTTGAGCCAGTTACTTGGAATATTCAGGAAGTTTTTGTACCCTGGAAAGCTGCAGAAGACAAGCTGAATCAGTTTATTAAAATTTTTCACCACGACATCCCTATTAACGATTTTCGTGACTATGTGGAAAGTGTCCTACAAAATTTCAACAATCCTGTGATTCCACAAAGTGTACAAAAGGCTAGACATATTGTTAGTTTGTTTTTGAATTTCGCGCAAAGCTACACGAGGGCTATCTGCGCTAGCCGTCCCTAATTTAGCAGTGTAAGACTAGAGGGAAGGCAGCTAGTCATAACCACCTACCGCCATCTCTTGGGCTACTCTTTTACCAACGAATACTAGGATTGACCGTCACATTATAACGCCCCCACGGCTGAAAGGGCGAGCATGTTTGGTGGGATGCGGATTCGAACCCGCGACCCTCAGATTGTGAGTCGAGCGCCTTATCCACCTGGCCATGCCCGGCCCATATTGTTAGTACTACTGCTGTCAGTTCTGCAGATGCAGAAAGAGGCTTTTCAAGAATGAATATAATATATTCAGATAAAAGAAACCTTCTGACAGTTGGGAATGTATCAAACTTGATGACAATTAATCTCATTGGTCTCCCATTAGATTCATGGGATGCCACTCCTTCAGTAAAAACATGGCTTAGGAAAAATCATAGTGCTGATGATAACAGAGTGAAACAAAAAAAAGCTAAAGACCCCAGCATTATATAATTTTTTCACTACTAGGACAAACCATAAGCACGCCACACAGGATGGGCTGCTTGCAGTTTAAGATCTGCACTTGTATTAAAGTTACCTGTTCCAAGTAATTATACATTAATAACTTTCGCCACAATGTGTTTAGCTCTAGAAATTCTCACAATCACATTTCAGATGCTCAGTTCAAATGTAGTTATTCATAACAACCATTAAAATCCCAGTATAAATCTTTTATTTATTATTTATTTTTATTTTCAACTGTTAGTACAAAACATATCTCTTGTTTCCTAGTAATAATTAAATCTGAATAATGTGGAGCAACGTGAAAACTAACCTTACATATTAATCAAGTTCTTTGTGTTGATACTATTGCAGTGAAAAAAAAAAACTCTCTTAAGAGAACCTGCCAAATTATATTATTCAAATTGTTAATAGAAAGTAAACCCCATCTAAGTTTTTGTAAGAAAAAAGTATTTACAAATAAAGACCACTACTCGTATATTTTAACATTTTTTGATTACGTAAAGGCTTTTAATTTTATTTTAGAACCAGTCTGTTTTTAAAAATTTAATTGTTTTTCAGTATTTTACATACTTCAGTTAATAACTGGGCACTACTTCAACATAAAAAATAAACTTTTTTTTTTCTATGTTACTACATGCTGTAAACCGGTAACTGAGTAAGTACTACAACACAGACTAAAAATAACAAGTACAAAATTACATGGGAATGAGTACACATGATTAGAAATAAACTTTATGACCAAAAACAAAAAAACAGTATTACTGCTTTAAATACTTGACCAACATAAAATCAAATTTACAAGATGAATATGTTGTATTGATACCCAGTTTCAACCTATCACACTCCAAGTGATATTAAAACATAGAATTCTCTTGAGAACATAAAAAAACTGTAAATTAATATAGTAAATATAACAGCTCAAGGAATTTCTGAATGTTTTATTGTAATCCAATAACTTAAATAACTGAAGCAATATATATATATATATATATATGATTTAATTAAAAGCAAAATATTTTCATAATTTCAATTTGTGTATTTCAGTAACCTGAAAGATTTAGTTAAGTACGAATTGATCTCCGTGGGTTGAACACAAACTCCTCCTGTATCATTAACAACAATCAGATGGAATAATTTATATTTTTACAGTACTCTTGTACTTCATCTAACAAAAGCATCAGTAAACATAAAGTTAATTTTGAAATTTTCTTTCTTTTTGGTCAAAAAAAAAACTTTATAAATGGGGGAAAACAAAAAGTCTTGAATATTTTTTCTGGTCAACATAGTAAAACATCATGGCAGAATTATCAGAAATATAGAATAAAAACATTCTAAGTACAAGTAATAAATTTTAACCATACACTTCAATGTGACTTAGTTCTAATTAAATGTATTCAGAAAAACCAAAACAGTGCATGCTTACAAAAAAAATCACTGCAACATAGTGGTATAATTAAAACATATCACTCACAAAAGGAAGTACATATAAATTCCAAGCAACATAAAACTTTTCAAAAGCAGTTCGTCACTTTAGAAACTTTCGGGTTTTTTTTTCCTTTCTACAATTCCCAGAAGATAAGTTTATGTATACTCAAACATGGATCATGATTTTTTTATATCAAAATAACTACATGTATAACACTGCCTAGTTTACTTTTGAAGATAAAATCCTTCATTATTATATCAATGCACTCTCGGAAATGGTGGAATATCAAGGGTATGTTTGAATGATTTTAAGAAGATGATAATTCTACGTAATGTTTCCTATAATTAATCATCTGAATGTAAAAACACACACTTTCAAATCTAAGGCTAAGAAATACATATTATAGATGAAAAAACGATTACAATAATCTCGGAGATCAAAATTAATGTTTCTTATAGGAAACAGTAATTCCTTATTCTCAAATGTACACGAGTTGCTTTGAAACAAAGTGATTTGTTGAATGATGATATACTTGTTTAACGTTCTTCCATGTAGGTATAAAGTTTCAGCTTTCTGTAAAGTAATTCAGTATGTATGTTTTGCTTACTCGTTTCCTTATAATATTGGTACTCATTGTTGTAAACGTTCATGATATTACAAAACAACAAATATGTAATGAATCACAAAGTTAGAAACCTCATAGCACATATGCTTTCGGAAATAACTTGCTCACTATTGTCAGAAGTGCAAAATAAACGACATTAAAGCATTTCTGAACTTGTATCTCGAAACAAGTTACGTGCACGTATAACTTACTTTCTTCTTCGAAATTTTTCACTAACCAGATGATGACCCATTAATGTATTGAAGTTTGAGTATGTATATTTTTCAATGTATTTATTTATTACATGATATTAATGTTTGTTAAATTATGTTAAAGCACCCTACTAGAATAAATTTGTCAAATATGTAGTTTCAACAATTTTAATGAAAAAACAAAAACAAAAAAATCATTTGATCAAGTTTACATTGAAAACTGATTATTATGTTAAAAGCATTTAAAAAATAATATATGCTCGATGCAAGAACAAGAACCAACTTTTTTGTTAATTCCGAAGTGACATTACTATTTATCAAGTAATAATGCAAGCAGCTTTGATATGATATGGTAATTACCGTTATGACAAAATGGAGGGAGTATGTCACAAACCGCAATAGTTAAAACTACAATAAAGTTAGAATGTGATATGAAACAAAGTAAAATATTATATTCTCCTCTTTAACTTACAATCACGAAGAAACCAGGAACATAATCGTGATAACAAATAAGAATTTTCTTCTTAAAAAAATAAAAAGAAAGATCTAATCAAAAAACCTCATTTTTTTATAAAGAGCACTTACTGAAACTATTATTGGTATCTTACTTTACTACTTGAGATACTAGAAGGCCTGCATTATCGAAACAGCAGGATAGAAATGGGTAAAATGACAGATCCGTGATTTAGAGAAATTAATAAAGGAAAAATTTCACAACACTGATTTGCTTCTGTAGTTTGTCCGTTATATAAAAATTTTAGCTTAACCAACATAATCATATAAAGGAAATTATCAGGCCTGTTTCCAAGGCTATATGAATCTCGGTGAAATTGGGCTAAAAGCTGTACAGTAAAGTTTTCAACAGTGTTTGTTTAAACCAACCCATGTTTATTGAGGAATGCGAAGTTTTATTTTTCAGTGGTTGGGTATTTCGAAATGCTGGATTTATTATTCTCTCATGCATTCAGGCACTAACCGATGAATTTTTCTTCGTCTTGGCACAAATTCCTTAATTCACTGCAAGTAGATGTGTCTTTTTAAGTTCATTTTATGATCACTAGAGAAATAGATCAGTTGCAGTGTAACTACTAATATCACCTGGGTTTTTGAGCCTTCAAAGTAGAGTGTCGCCCACGTCTATCAACTTGTTATGATGTACGTAGTCTAAGAGACCTCGGTAGAGAAAATCATACTGATTCTGGAAACAGAAGAAACCTTAACGTGTCACTTGTAAACAGTTTCACTTTTCTTATGTGTGCATGATTTCTTTTCTATACATAACACTCACCAAAAATACCTAAAGTGATATATAAAATGACTTCCAAAATTCTAGGGAATAGCTACTCAAAAAGCACTTTTCAAATTTAACTTAACATATTACTTACTAATGCTATTATTAAAGAAGGTGAATCATTTTAATAATGCCAACATACAATTTTGACCCAATTCAGAAGCTTCAAGAATAGCTTGTGAAAATATATCACTGATGTTGTTAAGTTAAATTAGATCTGCCTGACAGAAGTGATCCAGCATTAAAGTTAGTTAGTTAATCTGTCCAACAGAAGTGATCCAGCATTAAAGTTAGTTAGTTAATCTGTCCAACAGAAGTGATCTGGCATTCAAGTAAGTTAGTTAATCTGCCCAACAGAAGTGATCCAGCATTCAAGTAAGTTAGTTAATCTGTCCAACAGAAGTGATCCAGCATTAAAGTTAGTTAGTTAATCTGTCCAACAGAAGTGATCCAGCATTAAAGTAAGTTAGTTAATCTGTCCAAGAGAAGTGATCTGGCATTCAAGTAAGTTAGTTAATCTGTCCAACAGAAGTGATCCAGCATTAAAGTTAGTTAGTTAATCTGTCCAACAGAAGTGATCTGGCATTAAAGTTAGTTAGTTAATCTGCCCAACAGAAGTGATCCAGCATTAAAGTAAGTTAGTTAATCTGTCCAACAGAAGTGATCTAGCATTAAAGTCACATTTGTTAGTTTAAGTAATATTCTAGCAAAACTGACAAGTTAGTCTGGCTAACAACAATAACCCAGCATTACTGTAAGATAAATTAGGTCTGGTTAAACCAACAATCCAGCATTGGTGTTAAGTTAGTTAGTCCGGCTAATACAATTATCCAGCATTACTGTCCAATCAATTTGTCTAACAACAATGATACAGTACGAGTGTTAAGTTAGTTAGTTTGGCTAATACAGTTATCCAGTATTACTGTCAAATCAACTTGTCTAACAACAATGATACAGTACAAGTGTTAAGGTAATAATGGCTGGAGACGGCTTAAATGGGTAATGAAGAAAAACTTTAATATAAGTTTAACATGACAGCAAATGTACAACGTTTCGACAAGGTTTTGTCATCATCAGGTCATTTAAGCCGTCTCCAGCCATTATTAGTCTCAAAGTGGGTTCCTCGTCATCGAAAGTGTTAAGGTAGTTAGTCTGGCTAATACAGTTATCCAGTATTACTGTCAAATCAATTTGTCTAACAACAATGATACAGTACAAGTGTTAAGGTAGTTAGTCTGGCTAATACAGTTATCCAGTATTACTGTCAAATCAGTTTGTCTAATAACAATGATACAGTACAAGTGTTAAGGTAGTTAGTCTGGCTAATACAGTTATCCAGCATTAATAATAACAGTTTGGTTAACAGCAATGATCTGGCATCAGCTTTAGTGCCTGAGTGTCTGCAGAAATTTTTCCAGTAAAGGGGGGGGGGGGTAGAGTAGAGTCAAAATCAACGGCCGATGGGTTTAATATTTTGCTATTTCCAATATCCAAGAAGCCACCTGGTGACTTTTATTATAATTAAACATTAAGGTAATAAGTAATGTGAAATTGTAAAGTGAATAAAAAACTTGTACTTCTCATTTTCCAGGGGGTGGGGGTAATTCAATTTATAATAGAAGGGAAAAACTGTTTACGAGTTATATTTCTAAATAAATATATCTTTATATTTATAAAAAACATAATTCATACCCATACATAAAATGATTAAGAGAGAAGAAATCTCTCCGTGTACTCCTAATTTGGCTTATTCCACATATTAGATATTTAACATAACATCTCAGTGGCTACTACTTTACATGCTCTGAGCACAATATCTTATCAAACATCACCTCCAGTCCACGATACGTGACAACAGACTTGAATAAAGGATTTACTTGAACATTATCACAATTCTATAAAAAAAAATATGTAAAATGAGAAATTTCTGATAATATCCAGGACTCACCATCGTTTGGAGCATACACTGACGTTGTGAACGGGTGTGACGTGCAGCCTGAAAGACGTCAACTCTTTCCTCTGCTTTTAACTGTTGAATAAGCACACTTAATGTGACGTAAACACTACTTCTGTCCCCTCCTCCACTGCAAGTAAAATTATATTCTGTAGCCTAATTAGAGAACTGCATGTACCATCATAAGTTCATTAATTTGAAACACAGCTGCTATTAAAAATAAACTTTTGGTTATTCTTATATTAGCAACAAAATCTGATAATAAAGTTTAAGGTTTCTAAGCGAGTCCAATCCTATAAACACGAATATCTCAAAAATGTTAAATTCACACTGATTTGTTTCTTTTATTTTTTGTGGAATTGTTGACAGAACATACATCTCGATATAGGTAATCAGTAGACTTATTTGATCGTGATTATTTGTCTTTTTTTTGTAACTTTGGTCAATTTTTGTTGTTAGACACGCACAACTAGAAATACACAGACACTTACAAGTATATTCAAGTTTTCTGTATTGGTAAGCTTTGTGGATCCTAGGAGTACACAGTTCCAGTTTAATCATAATGACCTAGTCTATTTATATTTAGTTTAATTAATATTAGAATACTGATTACGATGTTTACAGAATTCTAAATGACACGTATTAAATACTATTTTACACTGTTAGCTTAATATATGGATTCAGGGCTAAACAAAGATCTCCTAAACTAGACAAATCTCATGAGGTATTAAGTTTATGGACTAAAATATCATTAGCAGAGAATACATAAATGATGTTACACTACATTCTAATCATTATATGATCTATTAATTATTAATGTTATGTACTTCTAGTTATTTGTTTAATATAGATCTGGCTTTATTAATTCATAAGCACATAGTTAACTTGCTTTTGATCTGAAGTTTTAATAAAAATGTATAATAGTCCCGTACCAATTTTAAACACAATATTTCAAAAATAGATCTTAAATCTTAAAATTATACATTCACAAGAATATAAACTTTCACATGTGCAGAAGTGCGATTACAAAATTTGTTACAGCCACAAGTTCGTAAATGTTTTCTTAGAACATATGTAAATCAATAGCATAAAAAATTGTTCTCCAGTAAAGTAGAAAAACCATATAACATCATTCGTTTTTAACACATATGAAAAAATATTTGTGCACAAAGAAGTCCATGGAGGTTATTTTGTTTTATAAACAGAAAAATGTAGTAAATCCTTCAAAGTTATCAAAGAGAACACTTGATCATATCAGTGAAACACTAAGTCTAACCTATTGTGTAAGGCAAGTAGACAGCTACTAAAATACAGGTTAGTGGCTTCAACAATAAGCCTAGTCTATAGCATATTAC